CATATTCATGAAAGGTGTTTTTAGCCCCTCTCTGAAGCCCCTTCCACCCGGAGCCCCTTGCTATGAGCCGAGCAAGCGTGCGTCCTATCTCTAGGGCCGACTACAGAGCAGCTTCTGACCAGAAGGACTTGAACAAGAGGCCTTTCTCTCACCACGATGTTCTCCTCCCCCCTCAGACTCCTTCAGACGAAGCTCTGGCAGCATCTCAGCTTGTTCTCTCTACCTCTGTCAAGTTTTTTAACATCAAGTTGGCCAAGGCTTTAATTGATTTACATGGAACTCTGCTCTCACTCCTGCTGCACAAGTCCATGTAAGGCAGTGCCAGCAGCCAGGCAGCTGGCCGATCCTGGACAACAAGCAGACGACCACTCACTGGGATCGTGCTATTCAGGGATTCCCCAAGACAAACACTAGTAGGTATCCTCAAAGCAGTCCAAAAACAATGTTATGACCTCTGGATCAGCCTGGGTTTAAGAGTGACGCCAACTTCAGAATGAAGAAAATCTGATAAGAAAGACCATGGACATTTTCCACTATTAAGAAGTCTTCAACAGACCCATGTATGACCTTTATGGAATCAAAATATGTCAGTTAGACAGGCGCATGAAGAAATAACATAATTAAAACCCATTGGCACCAAGATGTAAATGTCCATTTGTTTTGATAACAAAACCACCAGAGAACTACATGACAGCTTTTTCCTTTTTTCAAGATCCCATTAAATAAAGATTGGCCTCAACTTTAGGTTTAAGACTTCCCTTTCACTCTGTATTTAAATCAGGAATATTATCAGTTCAGGTGTAATAACAAACATATTCTTTCTGAAACAGGAAGGCCTCGATAAACCCTGAGTAAAAAAAAAAAGGGAACAGCCTCTGGTGCATGCTAGATAGCCCTGTCAGTACAATGCAGAGGGGAGGAGGTACAGTCAGATATTCTCAGGTGGGCGGTGAGGCTCTAAAATACTCGTCAGAAGATAAATGACATCCTTTAGGGGATGAGTTTGGCTTGCACCAAGTCAAATAGAGAGGAGAGGTGAGAGGGGCACTTAATCTCTGCTGACCAACAACATCAACACGGCCCTGCACTGGGTCAACATCACCAAACCGCACACAGTAGATCCTCTTCAGTCACTGTAACATTCTCAATCAAACATGTACAACTCGCTTTAGAACCAGAAGAAATTACTTTATGATCCAACTTTCCCAACAGCTAATTTCACGCCTGCTTTTTTGTATGGTCTCACACATTTAATAAAAACCCAAAATTGAAAAAGTGTGATTTTGTCCTGAATTGACCACGTTGTGTTTCAAAAAGATGCATACTTTGAATCCAGACAGAATAAGCAATTATTTGGAGCTACAACTTAATTATTTTTATTATAATTATTTGATTGTTTTGTTTAACATATGTAGAAAATATATTTATTATCACTAATAGGAAAATAGTGAACATATTTGGCATTTTTCCATTATAATAATACATAATTAAACTTACTAATAAATATCTAGTTAACCAAGAAGAATAATAGAAAAAAAAGCCTGAATTATGCATAATATTGTCTGCTAAAGATATTGTGTTACTGTACTTAAGCTGCTACTGAAACATGTATTTCCATTGCTGGGTTATATCGGTAAGAGAGAATAGGCCGAAAGGTTGGATGAAGCCCAAACTGAATAAAAACTGCAGGCCTCAGCAACACACTGATACACAACCGGGTTGATTTATACTCATAAGGCCGAGACGACGGGTAGACCACAGAGAAAAGAGCATGAACAATGGTTATGTGGAGGCTACACATATTCTCCACAAGCAGTAAGTAACATAATAACGCTGCTATGTGGCGATGGATTTGCTCCGCCCCAGACAACAACAAGACAACCCCCCCCCTCCCCTGTTATCTCTGATTCTCATTCACGCCTGGACTTCATTATGAGGTGTAACGTAAATCATCATTGGCAATCTAAAATAATTTACAAGACAATGATGCAGAGCTGGTCATGCCTCACCTACACAAAGAGCAGTTAGGGTGGAAATGGCTAAACGTGGCAAGAATAAAAAGATGTGCATCTGTTCTGCAAAACACACACACTGTTAAAGACAAAATGTGGGCTACTAAACATTATAGGCCGCTATGTTTTCCTTAACACATTTTGTATAAGATGACCAGGGTTGAAAACATTATTTAATATACTGTATAATATAATATAATATGCTATCTTGTTTTTTTTTAAGTGTTCCAAATCCTCTGTACCCTTTTTTTTATAATTTCAAATGAATAGCAACATTTTTACCTTTACTAGTAAAATCAATCCTTTTTTTAAATGAAGAATGGTAATACATCCACTAAATGTTTATGGGTTATTTTGTGGTGCAGTTCAGGCTACGAGCCAAACAAACTGTCAATATTTGTCTTATATGTTAACACTATAAATAGTAGATAACAAATTCAAATTATAAAAAGGAGACACTTATGCAATTTGATAATATAGTAGCATCCTAAACTGAGAAATATCCATTTTCTTTGTCTATTTCCACTATTTTTGTAATACATTTTCAAAATAAGTATCACAGAAAAATGCATCCATGCTGACTAACAATTCTTACAAAAATATACAAATACAAAAAGGTAGTTCATAATAAGTAGTTGACACCATCAGCAACATGTTTAGATTAGATGATGGCAAAATAAAAGGCCTTTACTGGGCAGGCTGCACAAGCAGCAACATGGATAATATGATGGATACAAAAATAACTGCTCTGAGATCTTTAGTTTAAATATTATGTGCCAATACCCTTTCCTCTAACAGAAATGTTAGTCAGTGAAAAGACAAAGGGAAATTAAGTCTTTCTTTCTGTTTCCGCTCCTCATAACAACTTAGGAATGTCTGGTCTGCCACAATTAAATTATCTTGGTAAATTAAGTCAGGATACATGGAGAACATGATTCATTTGCTAGCTGCAAGTCCTCTCAAAGGTGTAAAACAATATTTATCAAATATATTTTCATAAAAGTGATATTTATTTTCCCATTGTACTCATTTAATTGTTTTAAACATGGCTTTATATTTTTTTGGGATATTCAGTACAATGTGTTTGTTTTCAATAAGTACATTCATTTGCTCAAAAATATTGTAATATATTTTAGGATAGCAGTGGTCCAGTAGCTTAAAGTCAGATTTAAGGGGATCTGATTTGAAAAATAAATGGTTGTGAAACAAATGAAAAATCACCCAAAATTAGACCACACACACCTGTTAAAGACAAAAGAAGCAGACATGGCCTACAGGGTGGGTGTTTTCCACTGATTTCTAGCCCACTAAAACACTATAACCTCTTGAGAGAGTAGGCACTGATTTGGCAGTGTTCCTCCTCATCACCAAAGCCCATCTTACCTTTTTGTGTCTGTCTTTGAAAGGTAAGGCGGGCCATGGCATCTCCTGCAAAAAGTCTTGCCAGTGTTTCTGGTCCTGATCAGAGGAGATGAAGACGATTTCCAATTTGTCCTTGTGTTCACACGCCTTTTTGAACCTGGTGTAAAACTCGCACAGGCTACCGTTGAACTGCTTGCACGGTGCGTTCAGGCTGCATCCGAAGAAGAGCCCGACCAGAGACAGCTTGGCGCCCAGAGACTGCACGTCCACTTCGGCTTTTTCGCTGTTGACGAGCCGCTCTCCGAATAGACTCACCAGGAACTCCGACATCGCGGCGTACGGTCCTCGAACACACAACGTTACCCTCGGCCGAAGCTAATGTACATGTACCCGCTATGTTCAGGCGACACCCGGCACTTCCTCCACCCCCGACGTGAGGTTGTAGGTGAGCTCCAGCTCCTGAGAGGCGTTGCGGTGTGTGCTTCACTGCGGCTCGTCCTCCGGAGTGAGCGCTGTGCAGGAATGCGCTCCGCTTAAATCGCCCTGACTGCAACAGCGGTTGCGATCTGTTTCCTCCCATAGCATAGCAGGCTACACTTTCATTAAAACCTGAGTTAATTGTAGATTCACATATAATACTGTAATCACTTTTTTATGTGGATGTAGATTTGGTACGAGCAGAAAATGCATCTTATTATTTTAATGAATGAGTTTGCATGTTTTATATAACCTAAAACTTTTCGGATTTTCTGATTAAAAGCAGCCGGAATGTAGGTTCCAACTCAAAATTACATTATATGTTATTAAATGTATGTAATTTGTTGGTTTATCAAGCTTCATTAGACAACATTACATTAGATTGAGTACATTTCAAAAATATAAGGCTGGGGCACTCCCTATTTCTAGGGATATGCTGCCATCTAGTTTCATAAGAAGATACTACTTACCTGCAACAAATGTTAAGGTAGAGCAAAGATGTGTGACACAACTTCACATATTTCTCAGGTGTATGCGAGGAGAAAGATGATTGCCAAACAATAGTTAAAAGCAAATGTTTAAAAAAACAACTCTGTTGTGAGATTAGCACATGAAGGTGTGGGCTTCATCATACATTTTTTGCAGGTCTCCCTTGAAAAAGAGATCTATGATCTCAAGACCAATCTGGTTAAATAAAGGTTTGAAATGAAATGAATGTAACAGCTAACACATAATAAAAAAACAAAAAAGGTTACTGATCAAATTAAGTATATAAGGCTCTAGTCTCATAGTTTTAGAGTTTGTGCAGTAGTTTAGTGTTTAATATGTTATGTTTGCCTATGTTTTCAAGACATTATGGTTTTGCAAATGTGCTTGCATAAATATGGTATTTTAATAAGACAATAGGATTTAGACAGACAGACAGACAGACAGATGGTGTGTCCAGGTAGGATTTTATGTAGGACACAAAGACAGTAAGGCTGGGTTTCAATTTTGTAAATTTGCCGGCATCTTATGGTGTTTTGCCCTTAAGACAATAAGATTTGTAAGCAGAAAGATATATAGAGGAATCGATAGATGGCTGGTTAAATAAAATAAAGAATGCAAACATACTGTATAACACATTAGAAAATAACAATTTCTCTGTTATGAATGTTAAACTTCAAGTCATACTTTATTTGATACCTAATGCAAGGCCACACAAAATAATCACATATAAATGGTCACAGTACAGACAAATTTATTTGTAATGATCAACTAGTGCGATAAACATCATTTGCATTAATGTATCAAGCTACATTTTTAAATCAGGATTGAGTGATTGCACATAAAGCAGCATGAGAACCATAAGTACAAGTAACATGCATTACACATGTCTGTCTATGCAGATGTTACAGTATACAATTAATTGAGGAGATGAGCGTTAGGATGCTCATCATTTATTGGTTGGTTGTGAACTTACACAGTTGCTGATTAGCGTCACATGACAGAAGGAGCTATACTTTGTGATGGTGCTGGAATTGAATGGTGGTAAAGTGAACTGTTCAACGTTGAACAAATGATGCCTGACAGGCACAGGATCCCTCAGTCCTCAGTGAACATCATCCTCACCAGGTCGGACTTGAAGCATTCATCTTCCACCAACTTCTGAGGCTGAAATAGGATGACAGGGCTTTTAACATGTCTGTATACCAGGAAGGTAAACTCCCTAGTCCATTAAAACTACAGTAACAGTAATAGATTACACTTTTTAATATGCAACATTTTATAAGAAACTGATTGTTACCTGATCTATATAATCTAAATTAAATGTTTTTTTCCGTAAAACTAATTATACTTACTGTGCCATATCGCAGCAGAGTCGGAACTCCACTCAACTTTAGTGTCTTCTTGAATTGATTATTTGAATCCTTCCAACTGAAACATGAAAATAAATGATTAGCTGATACAATTCACCAGAGCCGCAAAAACATACCTTTTAGAGAGCAATCCATAACATCAGTTTTGAACAGAGGTGGGAAATAACTAAGTACATTTACTCAAGTACTGTATACCATTTTGAGAAACTTGTACTTTACTGAGTATTTCCGTTTTATGCTACTTTGTACTTCTACCCCACCACAATTCAGAGGTAAATCGTGTACGCCACTATATTTATTTTGAACCTTTAGTTACTTTGCAGATATAGATTAATGATGTGATATATAATCAACACTTAATAAGACTTTAGTTACACCTGGAGTAAATCCACAAGCTACCCTGCAGTATACAAAGTCATTTGAACTAGCTGCACCTTTACCAGCTTTGATAACACTTTAATGCATCAATAATAATAATCAAAACATGTCATATATATTATTCTGAAATTGACCAATTTGCATAGTGAGTACTTTTACTTTTGTTACTTCAAGTACATTTTGATGCTAATACTTTTTTACTTTTACTTAAGTAACATTTTGGATGCAGGCCTTTTACTTGTAACAGATTATTCCTAAACTCTGGTACTTCTACTGTTACACAAGTACAAGATCTGAGTACTTTTCCCACATCTGGTTTTGTACAGTAGCATTATGACAGAATATTGATCGCAAATAATACAAACATGATACAAACGTATGACTGTATGTGTGTAAATATCAAAATACCACCATATTTGAAAAGATAACAAACATAAAAAACTAAAGTTCGTTATTGGTTGGTTGCTACATAAATAATACATAAATAATAAATAAAGTCATTCTTTTTCATAATGATTCAAAATGATATTACATAAAATCAAACAAAACTGTAAATCAAAAATGTTAAAGACCATACGTGGACCATACGTGGACCATACACGTGATTACTATGTATTTTCATAGTAACAAATATAACAGATGATTAAAATAACACAATAACAAAATAGAAACATGTATTTTGTTAGTTTATATGGGGTCTTATGTTGTTTTGTGAAAGCACTGTTTGCCATAAAAAGCAGAATAAAATACTGACTAAGCCCTTTCTCCAACTTGACAGTAGATGAAGACAGAGCCTTCAGGAAGATGGGTCATCTCTCCTCTGACAACTGGCTCCGCTGAAATACAAGATCGTAAACTGTTAACAATTGGCTGAATGGATATGTACCAAAGTGCAAGATAAATAAAGATAAATAAGAGCAAAAATAGATGAACAACCATTCCAGTAGAACGTGTGTTACAAACGAGTAGGTAACCATACAATGATGTGTTATTTATAGTTATTTTACAGGTAGACGATATATAAAGTTACCTGTCACACAGTCTGGACACCAGCTCTTGCCTTGGGCGTCTTTATTACCAGAGAAATAAGCAAAAATATCCTTTCCTTTTCTCTCAGATATAGCTTGAGAGAATTCATCATAGCCGCGCACAGTCACCTCTTCGTAGTGGGCCATCGTTTCGACTGACTTAGTGGGAAAATGCACTAAAATATAAGGCTATCAAGACCTAAGAAGTGTTATTTCAGAAATGATGCTCCTCTTCACACTGGACCTCGTAGAAATACTCAAAATGTGACAGTACCACTTCCGGTTGTGCAAAGGTTCTTAAAGGGACCGTGTAGCCAAAACGGTTACGAAGCTCATCACATTTCCTTTATCACCGACAGGTTCAATCATTTTATAACCAAATGGCACAGTATTTCACAGTATATTACACATACAGAATATGTCACAGAAGGAGAAATAAGCAGGTATTTTTATTTGGCACGTGTTTATTAAAAATGCGGTTGCATTAATATTTGACTACTTTCAACTTCCGTACTAGGCGTTAAGAAAAAAACTACTTCCGCTCGGCGGCGTACTGTTGTTGTCATGGCGGCGTTTCAAATTGTTGACAAGCTTACACTAAACTTGAACAAGTCAACCGTGTGTCCTATGTTAATTAACAGTCAGTAAGAAACGTTAATTTATTATTTCTGTATAGACTGTAACAAGCGATGGTCAAATGGATGATGTTTGGATTAACATAAATGTTTGCGGCTTCACTTCCAAAGCATAGTGAGCTTGCTAATGCTAACTCTCACTAGCATTAATGCTTTATATTAAGTATTGATTCCTATTTTTGACTGAGTTGGTGATTGTAGTTTCTACAATGACTGCACGGTTCTTGCAGAGTGGCCCTGCGAGTTTCGTAGGACAGCAAAGCCAAGGGAGAGAATGGTTTGTTCATACCAACAGCGTTTTAACTACTGGGATGTCCCAAACCAAGGTAAACAACAATATAATATATGTATGAAAAGCCTGTTAACATTCACCTTTGCTCTATCTGTATTATAGATAAATCATTCTACCTTTTACAAGTGCATACATGTACACCTAGTCTATCCAGTACAACTAGCGTTAGATAAACCAAATTCCGATCAGCCTTGCAATAAATCGTACTTTGAAAAGGTTAAATTATCAAGTTTTCCACTGTGGTGTTTGGTGCTGTTGGAATAATAATTTACATGATTGTGTCCCTCTGTATCAGTGAAGAAACGCTTGATGACACATCCATCAATACAGCACAACATAGTTAAATAGAACCGACTATTGCACTCTTCTTGAATGATAATGAAGTTACATCAACAGCTTTTTAAAAGAAGTTAAAACAAAAAAACGTATTGTAGGCAGGATGTAATGTGGCAACTGGCTTGAATATAAATGAACAAATAAAATACTTGTTGAGAAAGTGGTGTGAAAGGCATGATTGAGTATCACAATGTCTGCTTGATCACATTGAAGATTCATTAAGACTTACTGATATCTTACACACCACAGCTTTTGTTCAATGAGGCCATCCCTGCAAGAACCAGCAACCGTGCCACCCATGTGTGCCCGCCAGCCCCCATCGTGATAGAGAGGCTGCTGCCGCTGTCAGAGCAGCGTGAGACAGCTGACAGCACCAGAAGCTCCATCAGCTTCACCTCCCTCTCAGAGGAGAGACTGCGAGCCGCGGTTCAACTGGCTAAACGAGATCTGAGGAGAAGGCGTCTTGAGTCACTGACAAAATCCCCTGCCAAACTCTCTCAGGATGCCTCTCTTCTTGAAACAAGTGATGTAGAGCTACTCCAGGTAACTCATGTTGATAAATAGTACACATTTTACAATGAATAGTTTCCTGGTTTATGTCCTTTTTAATGAATGATTGCTGCTTTGTTCAGTCAATGAGTCTTCTTCTCTCTATAGGAGCTTGCAGCCACTCCGAGTAAGTTCAAGTTAAAGACCTCCAGTCCAAAAGAGAAAGCAACGCGACCTAGAGTCCAAATGTCAGTGCTCACACAGCAGAAGTATCCCATTTCTCCCATGCCTCAGACTGGCAAATCACCCCCAACAAGAGACCCTGGCCTGAGAAGATTTGAAGGAGTCAAACAAGCTCCTTTAAGCCAGGAGATCTTCAAACTTCAATATGAGCTGGAAGTTTATATTCAGAAAGTAGAAGAGCTAGCCAATAGAGGTAAATGACTAAAAACAATAAGCTTGTTACATTAAACTTGTTTCTTACTGTTGATAATATGATTTGACAAAAGTTCTGAAATGTTGGCACCACAATGGGCACACTATTCATATGTTTTTTCATAGCACAAATAATGGACTTAACTAAACAATAATGAACAATTGGATTTAAACAACAGGGGAGAAAATAGAGGATCAACTTGAGCCTGAAGAACTAAACAAGTTGGAGTTACGCAGACAGAAGCAGGCAGCCCGCTCAGCAGGTGTCATCTTTGTTCTCCAACAACAGGTATGTATATCTACCACATAAAGCTTCACTGACTTTTTGATTTGCTTTTTATCTATAAGAAATGGTTTGTGGATTTCTATTGGATAGGTAAAAGAGATACAAGAAGATATCGAGAGACTACGCAGCCAGAAACTGTGGGACACGAAAAAGGTTTGCCTTTAACATTATTACAGATTTACCGCTAGGTAGAGCAGTAAATCATTTGTGTATTTGTTGAGGAAAATAACACAGTTTTCTATTCTTCAAATCAATATTATGTTGCTATAAGGAGATTTTAGATTTTATTATGTTGCTATAAGGAGATTTTAGCGCTGTATCATTTTTGACTGTTCTTTTTTCAGTCCGTGGCAATAAGCAGGCTTGCAGCTGCCCACCGTGGGACACTCAGAGCTTTACAGGTTGTCACCCATCAGCTTTCAGATTTATCTCATGGCAAAGTCCCCCCTTATTACAAAGAGCTAGGCCAGCTGATCCGACAGCTCTCTCTGTGCTCAGCCAAGGTTGAAGTAGAACAGAGTTCAGCTGTTCCTGAGACGGCCCTAAGCATCCTACAGAAACTAGAGGTAAGAACAAATCTAAGTATAGGGTATAAGTAACATGTCATTTCACTTTTTTATCTCCCATCTACCTTAGTGAAATGTTACAACTATTGTATAAAGGACTCTTGGCCCCCCAATTTAAGGGCAATATACAAGAACAATAATTATACACAGACCTAAATAGAGTTGTTTTGTGAATTGATATTCAGGCCATCTCAGTACAACAGTCCATGTATTTTACTTACTGAAGATACAGCTAGGCAAATAAATTGTCTCACGCCTTTCAACAACAAGGCAATTCAAATGGCTTCCTGAATGCAAACATAATTCAATAAAATCCCCCATCTTTTAGTGAAGATAAATGCAGCACAGGTCTTGCAGCCCTGGAAAGGGAAAACATGTCAGTTGTTATTTGTTTTTTCACTTATATGACTTAAGTCATTTTTGTAATTTCATCCATACACCAAATGACTGCACTGCATTTGGCTTTTAGCTTATAGTATCACTATTCAGAATGATTATGTTCTTGTTTATTTACGGGAGGCGTGTGGCGCAGTGGTATAGTGCGTTGGTGTTCGGATCAGGGGAGCACAGGTTCAAACCCCATTGCAGTCAGCATGTGGTTGTGTCCCTGGGCAAGACACTTCACCCCAAATTGCTTCTGTGGGGATTGTACACAGTATTGAGTATGTAAGTCGCTTTGGATAAAAGCGTCTAACAAGTGACATGTAATGTAATGAACATAATTATGGAATGATGTTGTAATTGATCTCCATTTATAGATGTTTTTTGTGCGACTTATCCAACATTTTAAAGTCTTGTCACTCTATTCCTCTTAGACTTTGGATTCTGCCCTCAGTAAACAACAGCTGCTTGAAAAAAAGATGCAGGCCCAAGCACGCCCTCCACACAGGAAGTCTCCTCATCGCAGCAGGTCACCTTCTCTTGCACCCAAGGGTCCCAGCACCTCAACCGTGAGAGGGCCTCGCAAACCAGCAAATCCCAAAAGAGGTGTCCGTGGTGTGTTCATCTCCCTGGATGCATTTACATATCTTAAAGCCTTTACTTCTTTGTATATAACGTTTGAGTTTGTGCACATTTTTTAGATATTTTTCTTCAAATGTTTGACCTTGATCATCATAATACAATTTCAAACCTTGCAACATTTTATATAAATCCTGTGCTTTCCTTAAATGTATTTCCTCTTTAAGACAAGGCCCTACCTTCTGACTAAGCCTCTAAAAGCTGCACAGAATAAATTGTGTATATAACAAATGACAACCTGTTGAGTCCCCCGGGTATCTAGAAGGCGCCTAAGGGCGTTTGTGCAGTTGTGTTTGGGCATCTCACTGTGCCTAAATTGCTGCACAATGCTGAGAATGAATAATGAGCAATAAAGAGAAGTAATGATCAGAAAAACAGGAACTTAAGTGCAGAACCCCGGCCTCTGTTCCCCTGCTGCTCAGTGTTATGATCAGTTAACTCCTGAAGGCTCCCATTGGGCGGAGAGACATGCTGTGGAAGAGATGACGCAAACACCTACCACGGGTTCAGACTTCCAACTGTCAAGCTCACTGTAATTGGAGGTGTTGTGTTACGACAAGCCCTACTCATGTTTAATAGGGATGAATCACAGCAGCTCTTCCTTTATTTCTCTTTTCATTGAGTATAGATACAAAAAAGTCAAATGTTTTAATATTTGTCAACAGGTAGAAGAATGGCCTCACAGAAGCCCAAACCTACTTCTCTGCAGCCCCTGAACAGAAGAGAGGTGCTGAGAACAGGCATGGAGAGCCTCGCCCAGAGAGACCTGAGACCACCGTCTAATCCCACCTGCAGGAAGGGAGCCGCTCTACACTCTGAGAGAAGCAAGGCTGACATTCTGTTAAAGGTGGCGGCTTGACATTTACAAAGCTGAATTATGTATGCTGTTACTAGGGGTGGACAAGATTTTTGCCGATTTTGGATATGCTGTTATTTTCCAAATCATCTTGGCTGATTGCCGATATTCACACATGTTTTTTCTTCCTGCTTAAGAACATCAAGTCCCTCCTATAATGAAATCAGCTTATTATGATAACCACTGTTATCCTTATGGCCAACTAGCAAAAGTAGTAATAAAATGCAATGCTTTTCAAAATGTACAAAAATCACTGCAAGATAAGAAAATATCTTTAATTCAGGTTAAATGTCATATAACATATCTACATGCCAGACTGGAGATAATTGGAATTTGTGACTCATTTTAAAGCATTTTATCTGCTAATATAAGGTACCAATATCATTATCTACCCCACACAGGAAATGCTTCATATGATATTAGAAGCAGTGTGATTTGGCTTTTTATTCAAATCCTGTCAAAAAGGCATACCAAGGTGTGCCACTTCAAAGATGTAAACAATCTGAGGATCTTGCAAACATCTAACTTGTGTTTTACATCTTCTTTTTGTCTTAGCGTGATCACAAAGAGGAAGCAGGTTTCCAGCAGCCCACAGTCTCCTCTCAGCTCAGAGTGAACCAGCTCCCTCAGAAAGAGCGCTCCGTGCCCTGGATCCCTTCCTCCCCTCACTCTCCCCCCCGGCAGCGGTGAGTCTGTAAAGCTGATGACACATTCATTTTGAAAAACCTGTTATTGTTCTCCAATGATTTTGCTCTCAGTGCACACTGGATGATTAAGTTCATTACATAATGTGTATACTGTCATGTCTAAAACTCTAATGTTAAGGTTCATTATGAATGAATGCATTGTGAATCAATGAGGTCTGGATACAATTACATGTTTAAATATAAGGGAAAAAAGTGCTAAAAGACACCTCTAATATCCAACTTTTCAGCTAGAAAAAAGATGAGAACAGGCTTTATCTGCAAAGCTGTGTAATTATCTGCTAGATAAATAGCTGAATGCTATCCAAAAAACAACAATGGAATATACTGTACAATGATAAAATACACTCATACCAAGTTTAAAGGATAAAACACAGCAAAGGTATAGGCATATCTGTTCTCTCTGAAATAGCAACGAATGTGACATAGAAAAATGTTTGTATTGAAAACCCCTATTTAGTGTAAATGTTGCAGGCCATTCTCTCTTTACTTTTCACTGTTTCCTCATCTCCATATTCCTCCTACTCAATTCCCACACCATCTATTCTGACTGCTCTTAATTCAGAGTATATCTGTTTTGCCTTTTTATCTCATCCTTTCATCCCTCCGCTATTATCTCTGCAGATCCCCTCAAAGGAAACAACCAGAGCCTCGATGTCTCTTCTCTCCTGTGAAGCCCTCGCCCAGCCCTCCGAGGCAGACCCTGGCCGGGGGTTTGGGAGAAGAGCCGGCCTTGAGCTCAGAACGAAAGAACCAAGCTCAGAATGAAGCTATGAGGTGAAAAACATCTCCTATAACTTATATCCAGCTTTCCATCTCTTGTTTTTATCAGATATTTTATAATGGAGTCTAACTGTTTGTCAGATTCTTTATTATTTTAGGTTTAATTAAGCTGTTCTTATTATCTTCATACACACTGTACATCAGACTGTCTGTCCTGGCAAGAGGAAAGCGCAAAGCAAATGGAATCATAATGAGTCCTTCTGTATTCAGAGAGTTATTTATATCCTCTTTGTCAGACCCCACTTGCTGAGAGCCACAGGCAATACTCTCATTCTAATTCAAATGTAATTCTTTCCAATAAATTAATCTAGGTGCCCGCTAGATTGCAGCCATTTCTCTTTGTGAGTGATTTATAGTTGGCCTGCTTTCAGTGGTCACAAGTGGCTCATTGAGTGAGTGTTCCATATAGGTTTAATCAAATCCTAATCACTACATTTGTGCACTCCAATAAATCAGGGGCCTTATTTTAGAGGTGAGGATTATAACGTATTACCTGAAATGCATAACAGCTTACATTTGGCTTAATTTGATGGCTTGGCAGGAACGCCTGGTTGGATAGGATGACGATGCAGAGACTGAAAGAGCTCAAGTTGAGTAAAGAAGAGGCTGAGCGCATTCAGACATTAAGGTGAGGAAAATATAACAGATTTGCAGATTTAAAAAAACAGAGGGGATATTGAAGGTCATAATGTTGTGGGATATTGATCCAGCCAAAATGCAGATTGCTCTGTTGATTCTATCTGTGAACAAAATGTGGCCTATATTAATATAATTAGAAGAAATACTGAAAAACATAATAAAATATGCAGACAATTCCTATCATTTCTACCTAATACGTTACAGTTATTAAGGCTGTAATGTCATTTTTTCTTTTGAGTCAGTCCCCATTTTCAATGCTTTTGTTTGTTTGCTAGAGAATTTCAAAGCGCCCCTCTAGCATTCATACGATCATAGCTCTCTTCAGTGGCCTGTATAACTAATTAATATCAATTCATTATACATTACATAATAATGATAACATGTCCTTTATAAACATGTGTATTCAAGGCAAGAAGACGAAACATTTCCCACCAGTAAAGCCAACAACGCGTAAATCTGTTGCCACCCCAAGGCAGTAATACACACAGCAATCTGCCGTACAGCTCAATGCACCATGCCAGCAATTAACTGATCAGTTCAATTAGAATTTCAGCATGGGCATAATTACCTACAAACAATAGAGCAGAAAATAATGCAGGTTGTGATTGCAGCAACATCCCATCAGCACCAGAGAGAGCATATTGGTCTATAGATTTGCTCACATTTGCTAATTAGTCTTTGGACAGTTAAACTCTGCAAGGCCAGCAGCACTCAGCAGGAGCAGTGAATGGGTTGTAGTCCACATTTGGTCCATAAGGCTTTAATTCAATTTCTGCAATGAGCAGGTTTGTCCTTCATTCTTCTGATTCCCCACACACAAAGATGCATCTTTTTTTTCTACAGGAAGTACCGGACTCTGCCAAGTTTTTGCATTGTGAAGTTGCTGCCCCACCGGCTATGAAAACAATTGTTTATTGGACTCAAAACAGCTAACTGCAATTTGAATATAATAGTATCAATATATTGTAAGAAAACTCTGTAATGTTATGACTAAATGTACAAACATTTTCCGTTAAAATAAGAACAAGTATTTTAACCCATTTAATGTAGAATTTATAGTGAAGAAAATGGACTCAAGTCAGATAGCCATTTATATGTTAACTGTGTTTTGGGCCAGGAGTTGCTTGCTCCACCTGCGCCCCTTTTATTAAGTGACGGGTATTAATTACAGATTATTTCTTGCTCTTGTCACACTCATCAGTTTAATCTCTAGTCATTATGCCCTGAACTGATCTCAGCTGGAGTCATTGTGAGGAGTGTGTCAGGCTTTACAAAGAAATGATTTGGCTTCTACAGTGAAAGAACCAGGATAAATTCACAAAAGGGTTTCACAAGGTTTGCCTTTATTCAGAGGTCATAGTTTGATAGTGTTGAACTCGCTCATTTGCAGGCAATGTGAATATTTGCGTTTAACACAGAGCCTGACAAAGACTGCTTTTTTTTGTAGAAACCTGTCAGGCTTGAAAGCAAGATATAGTAAGTGTGTTTAGAAGAACAGAACTTCTGTGACAGCTTGCTGTGTCGGTGTGTTTTGGTTTACAGGTCAGAAGCTGTCTCTCCTCAGTGGGGCGAGAGAGCCGAGCAGAGGACCAGAGAGAGAATCCAGCCCCTTGTGGACCAAGCACAGGTACAAAGACTCATCTGTTCTCTTACAAATGAAACGTGTGCTTGTAATATATAGTACTTCTTAAATATATATGTAACACACAAATATATAACACAGTATTCGTGTGGTAATAAGCCCACTTTTCAAATAGATTCAGTCAATTGAAGTTGAAAACATTTTTTTTTAAAAAGACTTAATTACTTAACAAGCTTGAAATCTACCCTTCATATTTCCTCTTTTTATAAGCAATCTGAAGCCTCTGTTTTAAAGATTGAGCTGCCAACAAAATAAATAAAAACCTGTGGTAAGCTGTGATGTAGGCTGTTGTGTTTCTTAAAGCATTTTCAAGTATCACGCATCATTCATTTGATTGATTTAGCTAACTTATAACTTAACTGATAAGGCAATATACCTCACCTCTAGTGAGCGGCACAGCCCTTTGTATATTGATCTGTATTTGGCCCTCAGTGAAAAAAGTTTGGACACCCCTGGCTTAAGGGAAACAATATATACATACAGGAACAGTGCATTTTATATTAACCAAAAGACTAATAAAGTTTGACTTTTTGTAATGGAATTGTTTGTATGGACTATGAGATAATGATTGATGCTTGCTTGGGATTAGTTGGACTGAATTCGCCTTTCTGTTAACCTTCAGATTGGTGAGTCCAGGACCAGGATCAGCTCCTCACTGAGGAATCAGCTGTCTGAGCAGCCTGCAGAGAGGGTGAGCTGTGCTGCTGATGCCACATTTTTCACAGGGGAGAGGACAATTTCCCTTGCTATCGAATACACTTTGAATTTGGTATCATGCCCTTGAATTCAACCCACTGTTCTTCATGTATTTCTTCTGTTGTGAACATTGTCCTCCACAGGCAGCAGAGAGTGCTGAGCAGCTGAGTGAGGCGCTGCTGGAGGATCTGTTGGAGGACACTGCCCGGGCGGCGTGGGCGGCCGAGACAGACAGAGAGTTGGAGGGTACGGCCCAGTGTAGGCTGCAGGCCCCCACCCTGGAGAGCATGCTGCTTCGTATGGAGGAGATACAGGTGAGAGCTGCCTGGCAGAAAGACCCTCAAACAGAAGGTCAGTCTGGAACCCCAAAGGTTGCCAGTGATTGGGCTGTTATTTATAGAGATGTCCTGTGACAGCTTCGGTCTGGTGTTGTTTACTGATGCAGTGTCGATTGGCAGGTGGAGAATTTGCTTGCAAAACACTGCTGCTAGGATTTTAAAGCTAGGAATTACGATGACAACCCACCTATCCTGACTTTCTTACCCTGGCTAACGGCCCGTCCACACAGCAGTGTTAAAAAATCTTGGAACGCTTCTGCCCATTCACTTTGAATGGGGTGACGTCACTTTGCCTCACTTTTCGCCGAATTGCATTGTGGGCAGCAGAGCGGAGATTTTCAGGATTTTCAGGATTCAAAGTTGAGCAATGTTCAACTTTTGAAGCTGAGGTGGAAGCGTCAGCCAATCAATCCCGTGTATGCAAATCTGACAGTTAAAGCGCTAGCCAATCAAACCGCGTGTATGCTGGGAGAGACATACCGCAGGTCATTTCCTCATATTCCAAAAAATGGAGGAGAAATTAGCGGTAGGGAATCACCCGGTTCTTTATGACCAGTCCCTATTTACCTACCGGGATATAAACCGGAGGAGCAGGCATGGAGGGAGGTGGCAGAGACAGTGGTAGGTTTTCGCCTGTTTGGGGAGTTTATATCCAGTTTACTTCAGGCTTTTTTGCTTCGTATGTCGGGGGCGGGAGATTCATGTGATTGGTTGTTGGTGCCTTGCTCGCAAAAAATCCCCAAGCTTCAGATACGCCCACCTCCAAGATTTTTTTAACGCTGCTGTGTGGACGGGCCGTAACTGTTGCTTTTAGAAATATTTTATGAATTACTTTCAAAGCCTTGTCCTGAGGTGTTTCATCAGAACTATTATTTCCCATTGTACCCTAAGATCCTCAGTTATGTCGCTCCTAGTCGTTCCAAGAAGGTCCAGATACATACACAAAGGGAATGGACCCTTTTCAGCAACTTTTTAAGATTTTTTTGATTTATTACATTTTGTTTGTTTCATTCTCTTTGTTTCTGATGCGTTTAATTGTTTGCTTTGGTTTCTTTGTGTTTTATATGTGTTGGGTATTTTTTGGAAAGCACTGTAACTGTGTTTAGAAGGTGGTACATCACAAAGTTGAATTATTATTATAAAACAAATGTATCTGTCTGTGTCTGAGCAGAAAGATCAGGAGGAAGTGAGGAGACGAATTGCTTCAATCGCCTACTCAGACCCTCTTCACTGGGACCAACCATCAGCAGCAGGTAGACAAACTAAACTCCTGATTGTCCTCTTTAATAGCGTTCACAGAAATCATTTCCCACATGTCTCCTCTAGGTGGAGACAATGCTACAGCTGATAAGAATAGGTGAATACTTGTCATTCTGACTGCAAGCTCTGTCTCTCTGTCTATCCCCCTGCTCCACCCCATCCCTCCCTTTCCCCTTCATCTTCCTCTCTCCTCTCCCCAGGACCCCAGTGCGGTGCTCCGGGCTCCAGGCCAGCCTCTCCTCAGCCAATTAGACTCACAAGGCTAGTGCTGAGGCAGGGATCTGCAGCAGATATTGTCTTACAGAAACCCGTGGAGACTGGGTGGGTTACTTTGTCCTTCACCTGATTTCTTTACTCACATAACCCACCATTTTTAAATGTCATCTTCCTACTGATTGCTTTCCCACCTCGCTGTTTTATTCATCTTCTAATCGCAGTAGTCACATCCGGGAGTGCTACCAGAATATATTAGCTGCAGTGCAGCATCAGGGTTTGACCTATTTAACTTCCTCCCAAATCTTAAAGATCTTAGCCCCTTATTTTAGTAGTCATGGCTCCAAGAAAATACAGTACATTTAGTTTAGTTGTGCACAAATCATATACAATGTGCAGGGTGCGTACGGGTGCTGGAAATCCTTGAAATTGGAGAGAGAGAGAGAGAGAGAGAGAGAGAGAGAGAGAGAGAGAGAGAGAGAGAGAGAGAGACTCAGCTGAAGACAGTAGAGAGAGCGAGATAGAGAGAGATCTATATCTATAGAGATATCTAGATAGATCCATTCATCTGTCCTAATTACCTAAATGTATTAATACAGTAGTGAGGAAAGCTACACCATGTACCTCTGAACTGTAGTGTAGGAAAGTACACATGTACCTCTGAACTGTTAGTGGAGGAAAAGTACACCATGTACCTTCTGACTGTAGAGGAGTAGAAGTACACCATGTACCTCTGAACTGTAGAGGAGTAGAAGTACACCATGTACCTCTGAACTGTAGAGGAGTAGAAGTACACCATGTACCTCTGAACTGTAGAGGAGTAGAAGTACACCATGTACCTCTGAACTGTAGTGGAGTAGAAGTACACCATGTACCTCTGAACTGTAGAGGAGTAGAAGTACACCATGTACCTCTGAACTGTAGAGGAGAGAGAGAGAGAGAGAGAGAGAATCACATCATTCATCTGTAAAGTAACTAAAGGTATTAATACATGTAGTGGAGGAAAAGTACACCATGTACCTCTGAACTGTAGTGGAGGAAAAGTACACCATGTACCTCTGAACTGTAGTGGAGGAAAAGTACACCATGTACCTCTGAACTGTAGTGGAGGAAAAGTACACCATGTACCTCTGAACTGTAGAGGAGTAGAAGTACACCATGTACCTCTGAACTGTAGAGGAGTAGAAGTACACCATGTACCTCTGAACTGTAGAGGAGTAGAAGTACACCATGTACCTCTGAACTGTAGAGGAGTAGAAGTACACCATGTACCTCTGAACTGTAGTGGAGTAGAAGTACACCATGTACCTCTGAACTGTAGAGGAGTAGAAGTACACCATGTACCTCTGAACTGTAGTGGAGTAGAAGTACACCATGTACCTCTGAACTGTAGAGGAGTCAAAGTACACCATGTACCTCTGACTTATGTTTACTGCCAACCTAAAAGTACCTCAAAAATAGTAATCAATAATATATTGAAAAGTTATTTGGCTGATTGTTTTATATTGGCTCAGCCAGGTTATATGGGATGCCCAGTCTACGTACAGATGGGTCACTCATTTTGAAATATTAAACTTAGTTTTCTTTTCTAACATTTTTAATTTTTCATCCTCATGTAGAATGCTATTATGAAACACACATTTGGTTGTTTATAGCATAAAGAACATCTGATTTAATGTGAGGTAGGGAAATAATCATTTGAGTATAAGTATGTGTATATAAATATGTCATTTACAACAGCTGTAAGATGCTTGAAAAGCTTGAAAATGCACCTTGAAAATGCTTGAAAAGTGCTTGAATTTGACTTTGGAAAAGGTGTAAGAACCCTGAATGTGATCTTTTGGATTTTAGGCTAATTGAATACAATACTGATGTTTTGCAATCCATCTCAGTCTGAAAAGTCACATAATTTCTTGGGCCTTCAGGTCACTGTAGATTATCATTTGTCATAATTCTGTGCTGGCAGGAAGACCAATTTGATTGGTTGTCACCTCGTTGCGTGATTGAAGCATAGAAAAAAAAAAGAGGCCAGCTCATCTTCGAAAAGTAAAGAGATTGGCAGCAATTGGGTCGCGCTGTGTGAACGTAGCCTAGTAACTTTGATTGCAATTCATATGAGAAAATAAATTGCCGTTCAGGACTTACTGCTGTTACAATTCTAAAAGCAATAGCAGCCTCATCCACAGGAAGTCATTCACTTCTGGCTAAATTAGGTTTCAAGACTTGATAAAAAAGTGGTAAATGTTTCTCCAACGATGCACATGGTATTTCTTCCCACATAATGGTCGTCCTATAATCGCCCTCCCACCGGGAGATCTTAGTCATCCCACAAACACTCACTTGGTGGCTCCCATACTCAGGGCAAAGTCTATTCCTGACTCAGGCAGCAGACTCCACAGAGAGACCCACCACTGCCAAGGGCTTTGGCTGCAGCTGCTGTTCTGCTTAAATTAATGAGGAACTTGGAAGGAGTAGCTAAGAGAGTGGAAGGACTAGAAGTTATTGATACAGACAAGCAGGATCCCCTCAAACAAATTCAAGCAGCAACATTAGTAAATTAAAGTCGGTCAGACATGGAGTGCCTCAGGTTCGTTTCCCTTACTTGAAACGATGCCCTGAGATCCACTTTGACTCATCTTGGACTCAGTCTTCTTCCATCAAGTAATAGCTCTATTTTTTGACGGACAAGAGTGCTGGGATGTCAAGTATTCAGTTTATTGGTTTTTGATAAGGGGTTTTGTTTTCTTCAGAGGTATCCATGGTAGCAGCTTTTAACAGGGATAAAGTCATTTGAGAACTGCCAGCTCATTTGTTCTGAAACTCCCTGAATCATTTTAGCATCAAAGAGAGACAGATCTGCCTGCATCACTTTCATACTCAGTCCAAATTACAATATCTATTTTAAATGTTTTGGCACTCGGCTGGACCTTGTCATGTTTTCTCTTTGACACATGGACTCACATCCGATGTAATTAGGATTTCTTTGACATTGAGCGGTGGAAATAATCTCTGATGTCAGAGTGAAACTAAATCTCTGTAAAGGGACCTGAATAAATGACAAATATAGAACAGAAGATATCATTAACTATGTAATACGAATGTTAGCATTGGTGTGTTAACAATAAGTGGTTGATGTATTCTCTATAGAGCTCATATATTGGTTTATATTTTGAATGGGGGCATCTGATACTTCTTGACTATCGTTGGATTTATGACTATTGGTTTATGTCGGTACATTGATCAACATAGTCCTTTTTAAAATGTCTCACTCAGCATAACAGCACAACTTTGTTAATGAAAGTTATGTAAATGAAATATTATGTGACAATTGCCAAGCACTTCTTCTGTCAGTAGCATTAGCAAAATAATAACAATCTATGGTAATTATTTGTCGACATTATTTCCATCGCTCTCCACTGAATGAAGACCCCATTTTTTTAAGAAGTAACTTGTCAGCTACTTGGATAAGTTAGTCCTTTTGTTTGGACAGAGAAAAACGTGCCAGTAAATGTAACAATTGTTGCAGTTAGTGAACTATACTAAAAGCAGATTTGTAGCTTTTCTTAAGCTATATATCCTGGTGCAAGAAAAACTTGTTGTAGACGATTCTTCTCCCACAAGGCTCAGTTCCTTTTGGAAGGAATCAAGTTGGAAGTAGGGAGTCATTTGGTGTGACATAGAAGGGGAACTTGTATTTATTAGGCACATTGTTTTATAGAGCTGTCTTCTGGGGCCAAGGAGTTGCTCAGTAAACAGAGCTGAGCTGTAAGGGAGCGGGCTGCCTGTCCTGCAGTGTTGCTCGCTCTAAAAGCACCCGGGTGGCACATTTCACATCACAGTGGAGATTAAGGGAAGAGAAGTTTGATTACAAAACCCTGCCGCATCAGCGATACCAGCGAGAGCCGCATTAACACAGAACTAGCCTGACCCAAACGTGTGGCAGTCTGCTGGTTGAATTGTGCTGTTGTTGAATAATTGTCACAATGTGGAGGTCTTAAACAGGAAATGACAGACTCTGAAGTAATCCTTCGTGACAGTTGACATTTTTCATCTGCAGCCTGAGGAAATAAGCTTGATTTAATGATTTTGCGTCAGTTCGATCACAGAGTCAACATACTGACCTAATTAGGAACAGTAATTCTATGGACAGTGAAAAGTGTTATTGCGAAAAACACAAGTCCCATTAGGTGTTCGTAACTGCAGCAAGCTTCAGGTCCGTCTAGATAATCGAATGCATGCTATCAGATAACTGACAGTAGTGTGCAATAAGCGAGAAGTATACTGGGCTTAAGGAGAGAGGGAATATAAAATTATTGATGAGATTGATCAGACTCTGCTTTCATTTAGCCTGTACAGCAACTGAGCAAAGGAATAAAACATACTCAGTTTCTAAAGAGAGAAAAATGGCCCAGGAATGCATTTTAAGTTCGGTTTTTGGTGTGTGTTAATCCTCTGTCAGTGTTGACTCGTCAAGTGTTCAGTGTAGTAGAAAGTTAGGCTTACATTTGGGGGTTTGGAACAGCAAAATGTGTGAAGAGCTCATCATGTGCTGTCTCTGCCCTGATTGGCTGCTTGTAACCTACATGTGTCTGTCCAGAGGGACACAACAGTGGCTGCTGTACGCAGGAAAACAGAGTCCTGCATGCTATCTCTACACACATATTTTAAACACACACCAAGGAACCACATTTGTGACACCGGAAATGTTTGGTAGCTCATTTGATTGTATTGAAGGGTGACTGGGACACTGGCAGACTGTTAATGGTTATGGTTAACAGCTTTTATTTTAAGTGCTGTTATAGAGGCACAGAGGACTAACGTGGGAATGCAATTTTCAAATCAGACACATTGAGAAAGTAGGAAATAGAACAGATTAATTTGATTCTATACAGGTGCTCGGGCTATTATTTGAGTCTCTGCAAACGGAGACAAATATTTTTCCCCATTTGTTTACATTACAATAATATTTGAACACTGGCCTCCCGAAAAGTATCTCCCCGAAAACAGAATCTATTATTCTTTACCTCGGCTGTCTTTGTGCTTGTGTTTGTGAGAGTGCTATCAAGCGACCACACGGACAATGGAGTGAGAGATTTCATCTTTGGAAACATCAGCAGAGCTGCAGATAAGATTTATGTATCCATGGCGAAGAGCCCAGACACAGACGCAGATTGTCCCCCCTTCTTTGCTAACGCTGACTGACCAACCCCAGCTGCATCAGCAGGTCAAACAAATCAATGAAAAGATGAAAGCCCCACTCAGCAATTTTCGAACCCTTTCATGTATTTCTTTTTTATCTGCTCTCTCACTTCACGGCCTCTTTGTTTAACAGCTACAGTCCTTTTAGGCCAAGTACTACAAACAAGCCAAAAGCCGCGTTGCACAGTTACTGGTTGTCTGGTAGATTTGCAATGTTCCCATTCATTGCATCCAGTCATGACCTCAGATTTGCAAAGACTCAGATTCCACCTGATTAACATACAAGAGATCACACACCTGGAATATAAAGGAGGTCTGGGTAGAGCTTTATTGAATAAGCACGGAAATTGCAACACTATACATTATCCTCCGTGCTACTTCTCCTCCACCTGTGTCTGTCCTGCTGTTTTCAAAAGCTCCCTTGTGAATCTACCTTGTAAACCTCTTGATTTCTCTGAGTCACATTTGGCTTTGTCCAACTCGGATTGAGCACAGCCGTCGTCCCTTTTGATATTTCTCATTTGGCAACGTGGCCGGGTCCGTGGGTGCCATGTAATTCATGACTGGAGCTTTTTTACAGAAACTAGAAGGCAAACTTGGAAATCAATTGATGGGATCTTGCTATTAGGTTACGTTGTTTATTAGTTTTTGGTCTTTTCCAGGTGGTGCAAGTTGTAAATTAGAAACGTTTTTTAAGTGTTCCTATTAGGGCTACAATCTAACTATACTATAATAATTGTGATAGATGTGTTTTTTGAATTTACTACAACACATCCCAACTGGCAATACATCTAAAATGCTACCCTATATTTGCCTTTAGTTTTGATGCTAGTGGATGTGTATGTTTTCCATGCTGCTACCTTGAATGATTGTTATCGTGCCATGCCCCATGTTTAATGTGGACTGGCCTATGCTCAGACTTATTGGATTTATAGTGCTCTGCCCCATAGGGGATGTTTTTTTCTCCAAAACTGCCTTCACAGCAGTGGCTGCTGTATCGATAAAGTAGCATCTGTATGCGTACACGCTTCAGCAATTAATGTCATGATTTATTTCCATATCAATTTTGTTTCGTGTAATTTACGTTACCCTTTCATACAGCCTACACATAAACACACACCCTTGTGACCACACAGGAGGAATGATTTAATGACATGTTCACTACATATGTCGTATTCAGCTATTTCTTGTCCTTTAACCCTGTCAACAAGCTTCAGAGTTGTGTACTAAATAATATAAAGATGTATGAGTTCAATACTCAGGAAATATTGTAATGTAGGCGTATGAAGGTTAACCTGTGCACTGAGCCGATTTGGTAGTTGTACTTTTATCTTTTGTCTTGTTTTCTTTATATGTTATGTTTTCTTTTTATCCTCTGATCTTAATGCACACATTCTAAGAGTATGGGGGATCCTAATAAATACAGACAAATAGTCATAAGATTTCTGTTAACAATATTTGAAGTTTAAACTTGGCAGTGAGGATGTATCCACGTTGTCTGAATGTCTACAAGAAAGGCAGGCAGGTTTCTGAGTCTTCTTTTTGATTTTGGCACAAAAAGCAGGGTGAAATTCTGACTATATAAATACGAAGTGAATTCTTTGACCACAATGGTCCTCAGACGGCCATCAGACAGTGAATCGACCTGTTGCAGACTGTAAGCAGAGTTGACAGTGCTGACAGTTTGGTATTTATGGCCACCCTGTGGTTTGCAGCCCTCGCAGTCAAAACAGAAGCAGGTTCAGCTGAGGCCAGGGAGCACAAAAGGGAGGCACTATGCTTTGGGAACTGCTGCAACACTAAATATAGCACAGAAAGCGGCGTCGCAGCATCCAGACTGATTTGTTCAAGCAGAGAGGATTATCAGGCCAGACAATGGCAATGCCCAGCTGAGCCCCGGCTCACTAAACAAGAGGCAGACCAGATTGCTGGACACCTCTCATACATTTATCACAAATATTGTTTCTGGTCATTGACAGTACTGTGCTGCACTCCATTCTGACTACCACATCAATAAATGTGTTTGCCTCTTCTTCACAGCCTTCTGAAGCCCATTTCATACAGCAATACGCTAAAGCTAATAAAAAGGTGTTGTGGAAATCTGCCAGCTTGCCTCCTCTCATGATCCTCCTCTTGTGTTTCTTCAGACATAGCATCCTCTCTGAGAACAGCCTGACAGAGGAGGCTTCCCAAGATGAACGACAGCCAAGACATAGCACCGTGTTCCCAGGCCCAGTGGAAAGGAGCAGGGGGACTGTTATCTCTGTGCCAGGCAGCATGCTGAGGAACATCCGTGGGTACAGGGAAGACTACGAGGCCTACCTGCGCGCTGTGTCTCACGAGGCTGTCGGCAGCTTCAACCCCTGGGCCATCGCAGACAGGTAGCGTCTAACAGTTTATTCCCCTGTCTTTGGGCTCCTCTCTAACATATTAGCAGAATCAAATGCTTAGTTTGTGTTACCAGAGCCACATAGAAACTACATTTGTCCTCTCTTCTCTCTATTTTGTCCTTGGACGAGCTCAATTCTCTGAGCAAAAGGAGTTCATGGTTTGCATAGTGTGTCCCTGGTGTTCACTGTTGTTCTCCCACTCACACATTTGCATACTTAACAGAATTCTTAAGTTGCTGCAATGCAGAATACTCCCTCTCCTCTTACTGAGCATACTGAATCCATGTGTTTGATGTATAAGATCTACACTTCATAAGGTTTTTGTAGGTCTCCCTGAGTCATAGATATGCGGGGGATTGTAAACAGCTCAATACATTGTTTTTTGCTTCAGAGCAGAAAAGACTAAAGCCCGGTCCCACTCGTGGGATCTGACTGCTTCTCTTACTGGCTCATTAACTGTCCAACATCAATAAACCAAAACTAATGGTCTGTGTTTTTCTGAATTTGGAGAAAAATAAGGATAATGTCTGAGAAGAAGCCATCCAGTTACCTCAGTGTTTTTAAAGAAAGAACACAAACATACAGACGTCTACATTTTGACACACTTTGTAGCATCCTGTCTGTCTGATGAGGCGCCTAGTGGATCCAAACCCACCATTCATTCTGTCTGTCAACAGATTGACTGCAACATAAAACAACTTTAGCACAGACCGAACACAGAAAACATACTAACTTTAAGCTATTCATCGCATCATTTGAACCACTTTAATATTATATTTTGACAGATGAATATGAAAATTCACTGCAAAACAGAATAGCATAATAATTCAGGGTTGCATTATTACTATTACATCTTTATTTAGGACCATGCATAATAATACATTAGTCTCAAAAAAGAGAAGATATTCCTTTTGTTTTTATATTAATGAGAAGCTTGTGCTCAATAATTACTTATACAAATGAACTGAGAATTGCATCATATTTGAAGCAGTAAACATTCAGAATAATGAAAAGTTAATCAGTAGAGCTAGATAGCTTTTAGCATGTTAGTGTTATAAAATGTTTCCTAATAGCTGTTCCTGATTAGTTCCATTCTAATTTACGCTGTATAAAGTGTTAAGAGCAAAGCAATCTTGTTTTGACTCTTCTAAGGTACAGGTAGTTCAACATCACACAATTACTCTCATTGTTTTGTTGCACCGACAACCTAATAATTCAGTTTTTTTACGCCAGTCGCACTGGGCCTGCTTCAGTGTGTTTGTGAGGCCCAGATAATGATCACAACACTGCAATTTAGCACCGCTCTTTTGACGTATTTTCTTTCCTTTTTTTCATACGCAGTTCTGAAAGTCCGAAAACAGAAAAACAGCTTTGATTGCGCCTTTTTGCAGTTTGAAAACAGAAAAACAACTTGAGGCTGACATTTTCTTGAATATAGTCAATCGGTTCACATTTAAGTAATGTATCCATCTTATTTATAGAAATTAATTAAAAAAAAAACATTAAGCTATTTTAAATAGCCCTAGTCTCAAATCAAAGAGTAATTGGTCTAGATTATTTTTACAGTTGTCATTTGTCATATATTCTCTCTTTGTTTCATTTATTGTGATGCAGAACAAGAATTGTCAGATGTTAGATTTGGACTTCTACATTCAATTCAAAGTTTGTAAATGTCTTTTTAACTGAATGGGAGCTTTCTTTGCATCTTGGTTTTAAGGAGAATATCCTGCTTCTTTTCTTCCTTGTTCCACAGCCTGGCGGAGGAGCTGCTGTCCGAGGCTCTGGCCGATGTGGCAGCAGAGTTTCAGGATGTTGTGGAGGAGTACGCAGAGGCCGTGTTCACCTCAGAGTTCCTTCAGCCAATCCAGTCGCCTCCTGCTTCAGCTGCAGCTTTGGTCAGCCAATAGGATGTATTATGGAGCATCATGGATGTAGCAGTTTTTTACAAATGGCTATAATATGTATTTATTTTCAGCGAAAACGATGTAAATATCAAAGATCTAGTTTCACTTTGTCGACAAGGAATGTGATAATTAGTCATGTTTCTCTATATATACATTTTGGAATTAAACTCTTTCACGTATGTACTTATTGTGTCAATTTTTAGATCTCTATTTCATTTGGATTATAGGTATGTTTTAATGCGGCAGACGCGACAGTGTGGTATTGCACTGGGAGCGTTAGTCACATAACTCTTCATGGTCCTTCTGTATCTGCGATTGAATTCCACAGGGAAAGTTACTTTACTTTAGATAAGCTCAGAGAGACCATTATGACATTACAGAGGATTATAAGATTAAAGCTCTTCCCTTGCACTTGGTTTAAATCTCCCTGAGGATATCTCACATATTCTATTTCCATGTTGGAATATGGAAATAAATTAATTTGAGTCATCTCCAACAAAATGACCAGGAAGCCAACAATCATGTGTTTGAACCTTTGTAACCTGATTGGCTTTGTTTGCTTTAATGTCTTAATAAGTGTCTAAAAGCAGCAAAAAGTGTAATTTCTCCTCACTAGTGAATGTGTTATTCTTGGAAAATAAATATTAACATGTTTGGACATTTAGTTTAACACCCCTAAATAAGGAGATTTTCAGTCTTTTCTTGATTTCTTGATTTATTTTTTCCCACAGAGACAAAACAAATGGCCATTAGTTTATAAACTGTTGCTCCCAAGCTACTGAATCCTGCATGATTGTTCATTTTGAATGAAAAATAAACAAGGGTGGGCTTCGTAGTGTTAGAAGATGTCTGAGTCCCTGGAGAGCAACATGAAAGCCATCCAGACAGAAAAAGACACTTTCAAATGTTGTGTTGGCCCGTGGGGACCAGCCTCTGACAGGGGACATACAGTGACTGAATCCATTAGCTCACATTCAATCAGCTGCCTCTATTTCCTCTCGGGGGTGGCTTCTGCGTGGGCGTCTGAATACGTGCAGGCTTTCACAGGCGCAAGCTCGGTTTCTTCTTTTCGATCCAGGACAGATAGAAATTGGTAGGCTCAAAGTGAGGTCTTCCCACTGCCGTACAGAACTAAAGCTTTATATTCTAATATAATGGTGAAACTAAAGGCATTAAATGAATCTGTTCATTTCAGAGGGGCTAATTTCTAATTATGTTTCATTGTTATGGTTCAGAAGATTCCAATGCCTCTGCCAAGAGACATTCAAAAGATAATAAATGTTTGTATCTGCAGCCATCACTTAGACTTTAACTGGGAGACGGTGAGAGAATCCCATACCTGCTTATTTTTCTGTAAAATATGTATTTCTCTATGTACAGTGAACATCTGTTGCATAAGCATGAACATTCACAAACAGATGATACTTTGCGTGGACCATCATTAGCACTGGTTTGCATATTATTATAATTTTGAATGGTCAGAGAGGTTTAACCTTGCCTCCAGCCAGCTCTGACTGCTCGTCAGATGTCATTTCAGGATCGGTGAGCACACAGATGACTGCAATATATTCATCATGCATTGAGAGCGAGCACTTTGCTATACAGGTGCATCAAGGCTGCTCTGTGTCATCTGCAGCTGAGTTTCTGTCCTCAAACTAGATGGATATGAATCATATGACTTATTACTCATGTTTGCTGTTCTCAAGGATATTCTCTTGGAGCTGAAGTGGTGAAGGGATGGTTTCTGCTTAGAGACCTGACTAATCACTGAGCAATTTGTTGTGCAAATACTTCCATTGTTTGCATTCAACCCCTACAAAAGGTTCCTCTTTACTTAAATTATCTTGAGGCTTCATAGACTGTCTAAGATTCCATAAAACACATGCAACTGCTGGGCAGTTTTTGAATGTGTGCATCATTAATTTTGTCACATTAATTATGAGGGAGAGTTAATGGTCTTGGTATAATCATCAAGTAATGAAACGAGTAAGGAAGCAGATTCCCCACAGACTAAATTCACATTGATAAATTGTGACACGGAAATTATTATCAGTCAAAGCAGATGTCAGTCTAGACCATTTAAAAATAAATCATATCTTTAAAGTGCCAAAATCATAGAGATTTGTTGGCGACTGTGCTTTGAAAGCACAATGAATCTGCAACTCGGGTGCTTAATTGACATATTGTATTTTGTCACTCTTTATGGCTCCCAAAAAGACTTTTGTTAAACTGGTCCTGCCTTCGTTTTCCAAAAGCCCTGCAGTGGTTATCTGCCGTCATAAACATCTTTCACCCTGTCTGGTTTTTCTTTGTTTTTAAACATTACCATTCATTTAAGCTGCCTGGATGTTGGCACAAAATCATCTCAATAAAATTGGTTATTTTTATAAGTCTAAAATATTTTCTTTTCTTTGCCGTTCTCTGCTGCTCAGGTTGTGCTGTAGAATGGGAATGATGTGCTCAATGGCACGGTGAGAATTCTTTTCACGAAAGAAATCTCATTAATTAAATTAGCCTTTTGTTTTTTCTCAGTAGGATCCAGTTAGTGCAGCCATTTGGTGTAATCGGTGCTATATGTCTTGCTGTCTCTCTGGCCAGGAGGTTTTTTCTTATTGGTTTTTCTTAGAGGGATCTCATCTCAGTGTTCAGGGCCAGAAGTATTGTCATTGGCTCTCTTGATGAATACAAATTGGCTGCATGTATTCCTAGTAGAGTTGGTAATGTAGTGTGTCCGGCTCTCAGATTCCAGGGCAATGGTTCAGCCGTAGGCATTATCATTCATCAATATTCAATTGTGTTACATGACGTGGCAACCAGTCCATTGTCTTGGGTGTGTGTTGGTCGTATATAAGGAGAAGAGGGATGGACACAGCAGCTGTTACGTCATGACAGTGCAGGAGTGTACCGCATGCCCTGAGCGCTCAGTGAGAAACCTATTTTCAGCAATTCATGTCAAATATCGCAGGTCAAGATAAGATAAATAATGAATTAGAGGCACACGTAAAGCGTCTGTCGGATTGGCCCCGATCTCACAACTGGATTTAAAGGATTTAAAGCTGAGGGAACATGATTCATATGCTTAATTTTCCCGCTATTCCTAGAAAGCAAAAGACGACAGAAGAAACCAGACTTAGTCCCTGGGCAAAGGGCTTTATTTTGATGGGTTTGGTTTTTGTGGCACTTCTTGATGTTCTTAAATGGGTCTGGGTGACGGCCTCTGCGTGACCAAGATGGCACCTGCTGCTTCGGTGATGGATGGCTGACAGGACTGTTGTAGTTTCACCCCTTAATCCCTAGTTTCCAGTGATTTAGTGTCCTTTTGCTCTTCATCCTTAAACCTCTTTTTATTTTCACCCTCTTTGAGTTGAATGTGACCGCCACACCCAACAGAGGGAAAATAAAGTGTTTGTGTGTACACTCAAAAGCATTTACCTATACTTTATATTTTATGTTCTGTGTAATTCTTGTAATATTTCTGCGAAGATGTCAAATTCTGCTGCAATTTGGTGTCTTTCATCTCCATTCTTCATAACCTATAGCAATACAACACACTATGAGACTCACAACTAATTTAAACACTTTATATTTAATAATGGGTCCAATTCCTGTTATTTGTCTACAAAGTTATGCTTCTGTTGTAATTTTGGCATCTTCATACCTCATCTACTTTTATGTAACAGCCACACCCTGCAATAGGGGAACATAACAACATGTGCTCCTTGTGTGGCATTATGACGTTTACCTACTTGATATTTAACATTGTGTTTAATTCCTGTAATATTTCTATGCAGATTCTGCTATGATATATCCAATGGAATGGATGAAACTTGGCTAATTAAATGAGTCGTGCCAATGACAATACAGCTTTCACATTAGGCTTTGCCCTATGGTTTTAATGCATGAAGTTACTAATCTTTTCTTTCTTTATGTTGGATATACTTCTTAATAATGTTGCTAAGTCAGAACCGGTGATAAGACGAAGGACACCCTTCAGAGCTGCATCCGCGGAGGCACGCGCACCGCTGGAGGCAGTCGCGCTGCAGTCCTGGTCTTGTTTGGAGGAACTCTGACTGATGTTAACGGCGCAGAACCAACTCCGCACAGAGACAACATCCCAAAGTATGTCTGCGGCAGCGTGCTCTGACGGACTTGACACAGGTGAATGAGAACATAGCTTATTTTTTGGGGTGATATTCTACTCCCCCTCTGCACAGTGAGAGGAGACAGACACGGCAGTGATTCACCCCGTCTGCCAGGCTTCAAGGTGCAGCAGGCGGGAGAGGGACGGAGGAAGAGCCGCTGTTTAATTAACCATCCGACCTCACGTTGTCGCACAGAATAACGTGACGGCTTTGCTGAGTGACCGTATAGACAGACGGAGACACACGGCAGAGGACACTATGTCAAAGGAGGCGCGAGGAAGAGGTAAGGGGACACTATGCATAGTCTCGTGCTAACAGGTAGACGCGCTCATCCGCGTGCTGCATGGATGGGAGGCAATCTGTAGGAATGTACGACGGTCTAAAAACAGACCTCTGCCTGTCCAGTGGACTGTCTTTTCATCTGTCTGTCCTTATACCTGTCTGTCTGTCACTAAGTCTGTCTGGTTCTGTTTGACCATGCCAGTGTTACACCGAAATATTTGACCCGTCGACGCTCTAAGGTCAAATAGGCTAAAAAAATACTTAATGTAAAAGGTGAGGTGACCTGCAGACAGACTTGTGGTCATCCGCTATTGCAGCTATTAGGATCCCCCCTATGCATATGGTGGTGACTCTAGTTTCTATTTTTAGCATCAGCTATTACAATTCAGGATGTGAGCATGAAGGCTAATTAAAAAAAAAAGTTTTTCTGATATTCCCAATCAGGTCACAGAATCATGTAAACAGAGGCAGCAGCACTATGTTAGCACCAGACATTAAATCAGAAAATAAGACAGGAGAAAGTGAATCCAGGAGATGTAAAACCTAATCATAATAATACAGAGCAGTTCGGTGCATTGTTAATAATAGCTGGCAGTTTTTCATGCTGCTCATTTAATTGTTGTTTGGATATAAGATAGCTATAGGGCGTTGTAGAAAGGACAGCATCAGCTACGTCGGGACAGTTCTGTCATTAAAGGTTTATTAATGCACATTAAAAAGATTGATATGCTGCTCAGAAATAGCATTATAGTAATTTTGATGATCTGTCAAACATTGCAATGCTATAGGGGGTTGCACTTTATTTATTAGATTGCCTCTTTGTATAAACATGTTATGGCAAATTTCAGACATTGAACCGTTTAAGACTTACGAAAGCCTATGTCTTTTTGTGTGTGTTTGCTGATTTTTGTTAATATTTATTCAGATTAATGTAGTTACAGGGCTAGTATCAAGGTAATGTAAAAACCTGTTAATAATGCTGGGTCAGCAGGTAGGCATTGTGACTATTAGGCTTTTATTTTCAGCCGGAGGTCCAGGTTTATTATCCTTGTGTCGTCATGCATGTCTTTTTGAGCAAATCACTGAATCCCTTCCAGCTCCAGGCTTGCTCTTCTGTATGTGGCGTTTGTGCTCTGACCTTTTACACAAAGCGAGAGTGGAAAGAGAATTTTCCTGAAGGGATCAATAAAATATTAGATCATTATTTCTCTCTGTAGTGACAATAAGTGTCACGATAGAGAGGGGATTTTATTTAGTGTGGTTTGGGCTTTAAAGTATTGCTGCATTGGATTTAAAATAATACCCTTGCTAGATATTGGGGTGCAATGACAGTGGAAAGTCTCTCAAGTCAAGAATATGATATTTACCTTTTCAACAAGAAGTTGATTCAAACAAAGTGCTATAGGCTGAGATCAGGTGTTATAATAACCCATCAAATCCCCACCTAAGTTCCTCAAACATAGAATGAATTTGTTTTCTGTGTTATTCCCACTTTTCATTGCCGCTATACTAGCGAGTGAACAAATCGTTGCACTCTAGAAATCAAGCTAACACTTCTATTTTTCATAGACAATCTCACAAGAAAATAAGATTCTTTGAAAGCATCAAAACACAATATATTTTTTCAACAGCTGCAACTGGATATCTTCTTCTGCGGTCAATCCTAATTATATTGCATCGAGCCTCACCTTGAAATTTAACAGGCTTTTAGAAAACACTTTAAGGCCCTATATTATTTGAGTCCAGCACTATATAATTATGTGAACAGTGCAATGCTTCAGCAGGCTGCTGGCAGGTTGTGTGCAGATTGTTTGGGTTTACTGGTAGAGCATTCATATCTCTGAAATGCAGTGAATATCGCTTGACCTCAGTTCACTGTACAACTTGTGAAGAATACATTGTTCTCATAGAAATATTGTTCTTCAAAGTCACAACAACTTGGACAGGGCAGACCTTTTAATTTCATGACTTTCGCTTATGAACGCAGATCTTATCTTTGTTACTTTCAATTATAAGAGGGCTGCAAGGGATAATACACTTTTTAATTCTAATTTAAATGTCCTCTCTTTATTCACTTGAGAGCTACATCTGCACAATTATCTCAAGTGGGGACTGTTTAATAAAAAAAACATCTGGAAAAAAGTGGCAAAAGGTGAGTGTTGTATATATTATGTTATCATTACAGAATGGCAACCCATGTTTATGGACTAGCAAAGCTTTACTGTTTGCAGTGTCTTTTCTTAGCTTCTGCAGAAAAGATGGCATCGTGCCCAGATTCAGTGGCTACCTATTAAAACAGATGACAGCCCCAGTTTTAGTCATGCAAATATTGAAAAATAATTTGAGCTGAGTAATAAGGGTTTAGAAATAATGAGGGCTGTGCTGAGTGAAGCTCTAATCCTCAAAATTAAGCATGCTAGTATGGATGGCATTGTCAACATTTGGTTTGTCCGCCCTGAAGTATCCCAGCAACTATCGGATGGATTTCTAGGAAACTTGGTAAAAACATTCATAGTCCCCAGATGATTAGCTTTCTCTTGAAATCATCACTACTGCCAAGTTAATATGTTAACCAATATGTTAACATTTCTCAATGGAAATGGAAATGTTGTTATTTCCAGATGATGTATCTTTATTATGACTTTAGCTAGTATGATCCCCTCAATTTCCCTCTTCCTCCTTATGCCATCATAAAAATAAGATTTATGGTTTCAAATCAATTCTCTTGAAACATTAATTTCCCCTTTAAGATGAATTGTAGTAACTTGGAGATGTCTTCAAGTTTGATCTATCAGTATATGGACGTCATTTTAAATGTTTTCAACACTTTGGTTTATACCTTCCAAACTAATTACCATCAGCCTCAGATGTGCTTTAGCAGGCTAGCATGATTCGATGCTAGTAAACATGGTAACCATTATACTTGCTAAACATCAGCATTTTAGCAGTATCACTGTTAGCATCGTATATTTGATGAGAGCGTTTAACTCCATCCTGCCTAGTAAAACCTTGCGGAGCTGCTAGCATGGCTGTAGACTGCTCTTGAATACAAATGCAATGATACCAACTGGCTATAAGGCAGCCCATTTTATATAATGTTTTATTTAATTTAGCACACTGAGGAGCTGATGAGGACAGTAATAGAGGGACCCACCGTTTAACCCGCGTGTATGGGAATTCAAACCCCAGACTCTTTAGTTACGCAGCTGTTTCTTGTTCCTTGACGCTCATTTCAAACACTTGCATACCGCGGTTCAGAACCAGACAAGTCTTGTGTTGCCAAAATAACTTGTGCTTTTCAAATCACCCTCAATCTCCGTCATCCTCTCCTCCCAGAGTCTACTGTAAATGCTCCGTTAGACTGCATGTACCATTCCAGTGCTCAGTGTGGTATTGCACCTCAGAGCATTTTGTAATCCTCATAGTTGATGAAATTGGATCAGTCTGTGGGGGTGTTTTTTATTTGCTGTCCAAATAGAATAAATGTGTAGCCTACCTGCTGCTTTGCTGGGATTCAGCATTGAGCTACATAGAGCTGAAGGAAGCTGATGAACAATCCCTCTCTTTTTCTCTCTGCTTCATTCTCTGTCTGAGTAAAGGTGAATAGGGTTTTCTTTAAGGAATATACTGCTGGGACATCTGCAAATTGATTTCCCAAAATCAGTTCCTGCCTCTCAGTTAAGGACACACATATTCATAAACTGTATCATACTGCAGTAGCTTGTTGTGTGTTGGGTTGTTGTCCTGGCAAATAGTCCCCAGGCAGCCGGCTCATAAAGCAGCACCACAATGTTCTCTGAATTTTACAGAGGCGTGTGTTAATGCATTCAGCCCATGACCTCTGTTTTTTTATTTGATCTAGTGCTAATTTTATTTGTAATGGGTGTTTGCCATTGGGAAGCACACTGGGCCTGTGTCAGGGAGCAGATATTCACAATGCACACAGCAGCTGGCCCGCTGCTATTTGAGGTCGAGGCAGTGGAAAGGGACCGTCTCACCTGGAGCTCACACAGGTCTACTGTTTAGTACAGCCTTATGTCGTAACGTTAAAATGGGGTCTGAATACTGAATGGAAACCAAAAACACCTTTGGTGAATCACTGATTTCTGGCTATTAAGAAGCTCTCAGAGTTTCTTAATAGGATGTTTGAAGGTGCACTTACTGTTAGCACACCAATTTAGATTGAATCCACTAGTTTGGGATAACTGGTTAATACAATTTTAGGTTTTAGCCAATAAACAGTGATAATTGACGGAGAGCATCTAGTTGAACTCTCAATCACTCGGTCTAATGGTTGTAAAAGTACTTTTTTTAATTGTTAATTATAGAGCTGAAGTTGACACTTAACTGAAAGGTCAATCATGTAACATTTTGATTATCAATTTAATTTATAAATCATCTTTCTTGCAACAATGCAAAAGATGGGAACATGTGTTAGTTTTGTCTGTCTTTTATGGCTGTTCACTGAATATGCAGTTTGTAAAACGAAAATATACAAATGGCCGGTTAGTTTAATCGGGACACGCTGTAAGACTAAGGCGGTCGAGGGGACCTAATATTTTTGTTAACTGTTTCGGTTCACTCTCAACTCTCATAGGTTAATTTTTGCTTAGCAGACAGCTGATTTTAGTTTTGAATAAAACAAAGTGGAGCAGTAATCAGCTAAAGGGACTGACCATTTTCACTGGAGTTAGTAGAGATCAAAACCAGAGCTAAAATGAATAATGAATGAGTGAATAATGAACTCGCATTGACCAGGTGGACAGAAACTCAAAATGAATGCTGATGCTGTGCTTGTTAGAAGATACAAATGATTTAACTTACTCGCCCTCCTAAATTCCTAATCAAACACTTAAATCATCAACACGAGTTTTAGTTGGGTCCGTTAGCTATGTTCTCACCAGTGAGCTGTCAATAACTGAATGCCACAAAACCCAGCATGTATTGAACATCATAAGTGCAGAGATTTCAAATGAAACCCCTTCACATGCAGTCATCCTC